CGAAGCGGAGAAGCCGAGAAGCAGAGTCGCGAAAGTCCAGAGAGGCAGAGACTCCAAAATTATTAGGATTTAGGAATTATGATTTTAGATTTTCTTCAAAAAAAAATGATTTTAGATTTATTTGGGGTAAAATAGAAAACAATAATTTTAGGCTATTCCTGAGAACTCAGGAATAACCTAATACCAGGAGGTTGCCAGGAATATTCCCTCTGCAAGGGGAATAGATCAAACATTGTTTCTAGTAATAGAAAATCTTACCAAACAAAAGAATAGGCCTATTATTGGGTATCATATTCCATTCCAGGTCTATTCCGTGATCCAAACGTGCTATAAGTGACATAGACGGGTATGGACATAATATTAAGAATCTTAAATCTCAATATACGATAAAATACAATCGGTAGCCACATATATATATATATATATATATATATATATATATATATATTACTGAGTAATTTGCAATATCATAAAATACTTGGATAATGTTATTGTTAGATCATGGAAATGGACATGATAGCATGAATCTTAGATATTAGTATGTGATAAATACAATATATATGTAACCTTATAAAACACACAACATTATAACTTACGATACTAAAATATTTCTCAATAAAATTGTTATCGTCTTATTGGATCACGCAAATGGGGTTCAAAAGGTCGCAAAGCCTAAGACACATCACACATAGGAAGGTATGAACATAATAGCAAGTATCATTGATCTTAATATGTGATAAAATATACTTCATAATATATAACCTTATAAAACGCGACATTATACCTCACGATATCAAAAACTTTATTGATAAAACTTTCACCTTATCGGATAAGCCAAATGGGGTTCAAAGATAGGAATTAGGAAAGCCAAAGACCAAGGATTGAGCCGGGGTTTTGTTTGGTCTGCTCATCAATTCAGGGTAAATTATTTTGTGAATCATGGTTCACATAATGTTATGTTGATCATAACAAAAAGTCTATTTTTAATATATTAAAAGTAAATTATTGGTGTATTGAGTGTACATCATACAAAATAATATACTTTTAGTACTTAAATAATGCACTTTTTCTTAAGTATAATATATATTTTTAATATATTAAAAATAAATTATTTATGTATAGGTTATTTTTGAATTATACGGACTCTATTACAATATAATATCTGATTATCTGTTATACTTTCTTAACCTGTTGAAACACAAAGAGCCAATAACAGAGCCGCCAATAAGAGCTACTTAATTACCTGCTGAAACACAAATAGCCAATAACGTTGTTCTACTTTCTCAACATGCTGAAACACAAAAAGTCAATTCACAACCGCCCATATAAAATTCAACATGAGTATCATTAGACCACAACTTCTTGGCAAATGTATAGGCTATAATCGCTATGAAATGTGTAAGAGACGTAGGAGGGAGGGTATGGGCAGATAGCAAGAATCTTATAGATGTGAATATATAGGCAATTGAATTGACATAGCAATTAAATGACAGAAGCTAAGGTGCAAATAACGTCATAGGGGATAGGGTGTGACTTTTGATGTTTTGTACTTCTCCTTCCCTCCCTGCACTGCACTTTACCTTCTCCCGGACGCCAATTTTACCTTTCTGCTTGCTTCGCTGAAATGACCAAACGTTTCCATCACACTTCTTTTACACTCTGCTCTCTCCTACCAATATAATCTTTGCATATATGCATGCCTCACCTCCCATTTTTGGTCATTTCTTCACGTGCCCTCCCCCTCTGCCACTTTATTCTTTACCAGATAGGCAGATACGTATCTTTCATTACTCATTAATGACATAGGGGCTGGAGATGGGGAGGGGGTGTTTGCTTCACGGAATCTTGAATCATCTTAGATAATAGAATTATCAAGAAATGTAATGTGAAATTTTAAGAATGTACTTTATATGTGTTGGTTTGAATTGTGTAATATAATATTTCTTTGTTTGGTTAATATTGAATTGGAATGATTTAGATTATTATGGTATTAATATTTTTTGTATCTTTTTATAACAGTATAATCATACATTACTTTACAAATATTATATTATTATGGACAAAATTATTCTTACATCATTGTCAGACATGTGCGACCTAATTACAAAGTTGTTGATCAGAAATACAATTACACATGGACTCTAAAACGATATGACAATTTTCTAAAGAATTGATAATGTTACATCCCACTGGCTCAAATTGAATCATTCTTAGAATTTTATCAATGTTAAGCTTCTAAAAAAATTTGTAATTTAATTTTTATTATATCATTATAACAATATATCTATTGTAACCCTATACTTCGAATTATTTATTATCATATTCTATTGACAACAATTGTAGCAATTTTCATTGACAAACTCCCAAAATAATTTGTCTCAATAACGAATGGAAATTTAAAAAAAAAAAAAAAAATCAATAACTTTAATGTTGTATATGAAAAGTATGTATGTCACTTTATTATTTTTATTAAATTAAATAAATTGGTATCTACCAGGACTATGTGGTCTAATAGTATCCGGGTTGGACTTCCATTTGGAAGGTTGTAAGTTCGAGCCTCAGTGGAGGCGTTATTAGCTCTCTGTGTTTTAGTAGATTGAGAAAGTATATGAACAGATACTACAATGTAATAGAGCTAGTAGCATTCAAAAAAAAATAAATAAATTGGTATCTATAATAAAAAAATAAAAAATATGCATTTTATTAATTTAGAATTAAATGTCTATATTGACATTATTCAAAACAAATTATTCATTATAAAAAATTTAAAAAGAGATATAATTTCAATTGTCATATTATATTTATTTTATACCATCGAAAGATTCCTTACCTTCAAATTCATTACTTATATTCACTACATTGCTCATTGTCTTCTTTTTACATTATCTTATAATTAAATATCAAAGTTATAATACAAAATATGTTATATATTTATTTACCAAGTATTTTATAGAAATATAATAAATATTAATAGTTTGTTCAATACTTTCACATGATAATCTATGACACAAATCTCACAACACATGAAACATGTGGGGGAAAACTACAACTACCAAATATCAATAGGCGCTTGTAAGATAAAAAGTTCATAGTACAACAAAGATCGCAGTCATATATACAATGTAAATCTAAAACTTCCAATACCATAATCCCATTACATGGTGATGCTCTCTATGTTATCACCAGTAACCCAATTGCACAAGACATACAACAAATAAAAAGAAAAAAAAAAAAGATACATGACATGTACTGAAGATGAAGACAACGGCAATGCTACCCAAAAGAGAACTAAAAAGACTTAGAGAAGATTTAAACCAAAAGTAGTATTGATTTAGACTACCGTTTTTAGACTAAGTATTTAGACTAGCGTTATTATAAAGATGTAAACATTTATTTTAGTGACAATTATAATCATTTTCTCATATATTATCTTGAATTTATATACTTTGAATTACCGATTTAAATAAACAAATTCAACACCCAATATTCAATTACCGATGCATGAACATCACTTATATAATATTGCATTGATATACTTTGAAGTACTTATTTGAAAATAATTATTGGACATTATCTCATTCATGCAATGCGCGTACAAAAAACTAATTATCTAAATAAAACAAAAACAAAAACAAAAACAAAAAAAAAAAAAAAACAAAAAAAAAAAGGGCAATCCACCCATTATGGCCTTTTCACTATATAATATATATCCAGCAAATTGACCACTTTTTGGCAAAATTTGTTTTCACTTTCGATCAAAAATTGCTTACAGTACAGTATTAAGATGGTCCTGAAAGTATAGGACACTGTTGCCCAAATATGCCAATACCTTTGTCGGATGCTGACATTTGCTTCGAATCTTCCTATTCCGTGTGTTGGATGTGTACAACTGAATTCACGCGTTAATGAAACGAACTCTAACCCATAAGCATTAATACACTATTGCATTTAGTTGGATGTAATTTAATTGTAATTAAATTATAATTCAATGAAAACTTCAATTATATTCTTTGATTGAAGGGAATTACGATTCTACCGAATTACAGTTCATTTCTTTTATTAAATTCTAATTTATAAGGTACCCCATGAATTGCAATTCAATAGACGTAGGAAAGGAAAAATCTCTCTATATATTAAAGCCATAAAATTTCGGGTTTTGGTTTAGTCTCGGTATTTGTATTTGTATTTGTACTAGGGAAATTCTATTCACACCCCCCTTTTTACTATTTGCACCACCTACATAATAGGTCAAACTACTTTATAGGTGGTGCTAACTACAAAATGCTATTTACACCACATTATTTAATATGGTCAAAAGAATAATATTTATTTTAATTTTTTTTTTACAATTAAATTATTAAAAAAAAAAAAAAACTTAGCGTTACCTTCTCCGATGAGAAGGCAACTGCCTTCTCATCGGAGAAGGCAACTGGGCTGCCTTCTCCGGTGAGAAGGCAGCCCAGTGGGTCCACTACACCAAAACAGGCGTTTAGCGGCGGTTCGAAACCGCCACTAGTATGTTTAGCGGCGGTTATTCAACCGCGTCTAAATAGTGTGTCGCGAAGCATTTAGCGGCGGTTTTCTACAACCGCGGGAATTCATGGGAAATTTATTTCGCGGCGGTTTTGAATTCATTTAGCGGAATAAATATATTTATTTGAATAAATTTTAGCGGCGGTCTTCTAACCGCCGCTAAATAAATATATTTATTTGAATAAATTTTAGCGGCGGTCTTGTAACCGCCACTAAATAAATAATTTTTTTTTGAATAAATTTTAGCGGCGGTTTGTAACCGCCGCTAAATAAATAAATTTTTTTTGAATAAATTTTAGCGGCGGTTTGTAAGTGTTGCTATATATTTTTTTTATTTATTTATTAAAATATTAGATGCGGTTATTAAGTGTCGCTAAATAATTTTTTGTTTTCATAATTAAGTGTCACTAAATGTTGTTTTATAATTATATTATTATATTTTTATAATTATCATTTAATTATATTTCTTCAAAAATCGTTATATTCAAATGCGTATTGCAATCACAAATAAACTCTATGTACACATTTAATTGAAAAAAATCAATTGTAATTAATATTGATAAAATAATACTAGGTCTTTAACTCTAATGCATTTTCATTCCCTGACAGTTCAAAACATTATTCTTCAAACACGTTCAGCACTTTTGGCCTTTCGTTGTTTCTTTTTCATCCTGTTTATTTGGCTTTTTGATAAAGCCTTGGCAGGCTTGTCCTTAGAATTCTGCACATCAACCTTCTCATTTGCAGGAGATTCAGCCTGAGCTTCTTCCTCCACCATGTCAGCCCATCTTGGAGCCTTCTGATCACCTTCTTTCAAAACTTCTTCTGCAATCTCCTCCATCAGACCTGCAGCTGCCTCACCAATGATTTCATCAGCAAGGGAAGCCAGTGTTGCCTCCAGATTAGGTGTAACCCGATCAGGTGTAATCATGTCAGCTTTTAGGCCTTCCACTGATTCTTTTCCCTGAGAATCTTTCCCCTCTTCCAGGATGTATTCAAAAGTCTTAGCCATCTCTGCACAATTCATTCTGGCATTTGGCGAACAGGAGGTCCAACTGCTCCCATCTCCTCTGCCAAGCCTTTACCCCCAATTCCTTCCACTTCACAACCACCCCTTCTTCTACACCATTCCATTTTGTGCCCAAATTTGCCACAAATTGAACAGTATCGTGGTACTCTGTCCGCCTCAACAATTTGCCAAAAGCCAACTGGAATTCCTTTTCCATCATCTATTTCAATCAAAATTCGATCGCTCAAAGGCTTAGATGCATCCAATTCAACTCTCACCTTCATAATATTAGGCCTCGTCCGTCGGATTGTTGCAGAGTCTAGGGCCACAACTCTTCCAACAGGTGCGCAAATTTGTGATAGCATATCTGCGTCGAATAAATGAATGGGAAGAGAAGGAAGCTGGAGCCATACCAGAGACATAGGTGAGTCTCGATTAGGGATGAGATGCTGCTCCGGTCCCCAGCGCGATAGCCACAGGTTTTCATTTCTGTTTTCATTCCATTCTTCCACTATTATAGGTTTTATCTTCATCCAGTTTTCAAGTATCTCGTCAACTGTGAGTCTCTCTGCAACCTTGCACATTTAACAACAAATATCAGCCCAAGCATTATCGAGAAAAAACATAAAATATGACAGTGTCCAATTAGGATATCATTACTGTATCATCACATCTACCAATACATTTTCATAGCCGATTTCTACCGCTCTAGAATAAGAAGTCCATGTAAATAGAAAATGTGCAATTGTTTTCCGTTTTATTAGTTATATACTTCCAGCCTTCACAGTCAATTGGACATCTCGGTCTTTTTCCATTACAATGAAGAGAGTTGCCTTAACAACAACCAATGACCAATCTGCAGTCCTACATTGCCCAGAAACTGCAGAACCTTAACAATGAACCCTATGATAGATTAAGAATGTAAAGGATTTCCTAGCTTCAACATTAACTTGGTGCTACAAATTTAGATTCTTTAATCTTCCAAAGCAGAAAGTTCATATAGAAGATTATATGAAACTACTTACAGTTGCATATCATGTAGAAGATTGTCCATTAACATGATGACTAGAGGATGAATTTTGCTTTCCACTCCCTTGTGAAGATTGTTGCTTGCTTCCTTCATCGGGTACCTACATTTCATAGTATAAATTTCAATGCTCGACTCTAAATAGTTAAATGAAATCAATGGTGTTTGCACAACAATATAGAAATGCATACAATCCGTTTTTCTTAATGTATAAATCAGTATTTGAAAAAAAAAATGCACTTACTGGTTGAGATGTTTGGTTAAGGAAGGTAGCAAATTCTTCAGGAACTTTGCCAAAAGTTCTTTCCAAAATAGCAACAAGAGCCCCTCCCATGGCCTTTTGCATATCACTTTGAACTTGCAATTTATCACTTTGAACTTGCAATTGAGCTTTAGTTGCAGCTAACTCTTTCTCCAAAGTGGACACATAATCTTTGTCATTCATCCTTAAAGTATTGTTAAATACCTTAGATGGGCATGGTCCAAAACCTAACCCACGAACACGTCCGTTGTGCTCTTTTCCTAAAGTTTTGCCAAGAGGGTCATCTTGTGAAATAGATTGTGATTGAGAAGATGAGCCTTTCTCCATTTCATTTATGATTTTTTCCTACATTAAACAAATATCAATTTGCAGTGTAACATCTAACCCTATTCAAAATAAATTAAAACATACTTACTGTGATAATTCTACATTCTTCATTAACAGATGACCCTCTTTTTACTTTGTGGGTATCAATCCATAGTTCTGAGCGATTAACATTATGCCCGAGCTCAATTTCCTTGTATGAAAATTAAATTGTTAATAGTTAAAGAACAAAAATAAACATTCAACTTAGTTAATTGCAAAAAAAAAAAAAACAAAACAAAAAACAAAACAAAAAACAAAACAAAAAACAAAAAAAAAAAAAACAAAAAAACAAAAAAAAACAAATTCAAATACCATCTCAGCCCTTCTCCTAGCAAAGCTCTTTGATCCACAAGTATGTGCAATTTTTTGTTGTTTTCTACTTTCAGCATTTTTTCTGCACATTTCTTAATAATAGAGTACAATACTAAAACATTAGGCAAATATGACCAAAATAATAAGCAAACAGATTTCAGAAACATTACCTTAGATTTTTCTGACAAACGATAGTTGACAAAACTTGACCACTGGTCTCTATGAATTCCAATTGGACACTTACTAATCAGTTCATCCCGATTTAACGTATGATCATAGAACTCTATCCACAACCTAGATTTGAAGTCCTTCCATTTCCTCCCAATATTTTGAAGTGTCCAATGTTTTGCAATCTCATCATTTTGGAAGTGAAATTTGAGCTTCAAATCATAGTAAATGTAATTATTAGCATTATACATTTATTTTTTGAATATAGCAAATAATTGAATCTATTTTGTTACCTTGATTATTTTGGCAAATGTATCTTCTTTATATTGCTTTGGCATCAATCTCCAATCAGTAAAATTGATTGGAAATGTGCTACTTTCCTGTGCCAACCCTGCAAGTGTTCCAGTAAATAATCCAGCTGCGTCGGTGGATGGTGTATCAAAGTTGTCAAATGGGACTATGATTCTTTCCCCCAATGGGAGTGTCCAAACTTCTTTAACTTTTAATTTTTTCTTCCTCACAAATCCTTCTTTCATCTGTCAATAAATGAAACTAAATGAATATATTGATTTATTTAGACTTTTTGTACATGTCAATCAATAAATATAATAATGTAAACTTACTAATCACATCAACTTCCCACGCAGTCCTCGTTTTCCTTTTAGATGAAGATTGCAAATCTTCATCATTTTGGTCTTGTCGTGTCTCACTATATTGAGCTTGCTCTTGAGGTGTTTCATTATCCTGGGTTTGTTCTTCAAGTGGTGCATCATTCAACAATTGCTCATGTGTTGATGAAGAAGATTGTTGATGAGACTTTGACCGACTCATATCCGTGAACCTTTTTGATCTTGGCATATCTACACATTAAATGAAAAATTAAAGATTATTGTAGGGAGCAGAAATTGTGCTTTCATTGTAGGTAAAAATAGCAATATGGAGATTGGCAGATTGATCAGCAGCCTTGCGTGCTTCAATATATGGTTGCTTATGTCCAAATTTAACGGTTTCACTATCCAAGAAGAAAAGAATGACGATGATTATCACTTCATTAAAATAAACAAAATAATATAATATTGGCAAATAGACCCTCCCTTACAGCAGCTTTGCACATGAATTTAAAGAAGGGAAAGAAAACACTTATATAGCAGAATCAAACTCAGACCTCCTTGCAGAAAGCAGAAAATTGCAGGTAGCATATCATAACTTTCACATTATCTTAATGTACTAAATGCACCAGAATATAAACCATTAATCTAACAACACATAATATCAGTTAACAAATGGCTCTATAAGGTGGAGTCCAAGTAATCAGAAGGCATACTAAATATGTCTCTACATTGCAACCTCTTCTCTGGTAAGCAAACCATTAACTAAATTGTACTTGTAAGCAAAACATTATTTCCCACTATATTTAGGTCCAAATATCACTAATGCAAGAACAAATTCATTTAAGCTTGGCAGGAGCTTTGTCTTTGCCTCTTTATACTAAAGTATTATTCTTGTATCCTTCCTAAACCTCCCATAGTTTTCCTCTGTTGCTTTCTTAATTTTATTTTAATATTTAATTTCATTAAAGATTTCTAGCATCATAATGTGTATTACAATATCTGATTGTAAAACCAATTCATTCAAACACAAGTATTTCAAGTGCCCTCAAATCAAATGTCCGAAATTCAACTCTATACAATTTAGCCTATGAGAGATTAGGGTTAAGGGATCAGAAATTTTCTAACCTCTGCTCAAACTACATATATCCATTTGTTAGATACAATATTCAAATATATTGTAGTAGTAAAGTAGGGTCACGAGTAGTAATCGAACAGCAGCAAACTGTAAAGGACTAGACTAGTACAGTTACCGTAGCAACAAAATGTATCTGAAGTGAAAGCGAACTCCGGCGGCGACGAACTCCGGCGGCTTGGGCTTCCTCGTGTTTGAATTCCGTCGAACTCCGTTGTCGGCGACGAACTCCGTCGGCTACAAGCAAAATGAACGGTCCAGGAAGGATTTGATTGAATTGGGAATTGAATGCACGAAGGTATTGGAGATGGAGATTTAAGAAGGTATTGAAGATTTAAGAAGGTATTGGAGATGGAGATTTAAGAAGGTATGGGAGATGAAGATGGAACGCACAATTTGAGATTAATGCTGGGGTTTTAGCGGCGGGAATTGTGGAAGAATTGAGAAAAATAGAATTTGGGAGAAACCATTCTCATATATAATTTAGTGTGAGTTTTAGTGGCGGTCATATAACCGCCGCTATAATACGACCATGTTAATAACAAATTAATGCTTTCCGTGGATTATAGTTACTAATCATTAATTTTTTAAGTTTTAGTACAAGATTTAGAGGCGGTTGTTATAAATGCCGCGAAATACTCATTTAGCGGCGGTTATATATAACCGCCGCTAAGTGTATGTCGCTAAAAAATCAGTTTTTTGTAGTGGTCGCCTTCTCATGGGTAGAAACTACCTGGGTTGCCTTCTCCGGTGAGAAGGTTACCCACGGGTTGCCTTCTCACCGGAGAAGGCAACCACTCACCGGAGAAGGCAACCCAGGTAGTTTCTACCTGGGTCGTCTTCTCCGGTGAGAAGGCAGTCCTACCTTCTCACCGGAGAAGGTGACCGGGGAGTTTCTTTTTTTTTTTTTTTAATGAATTAAATTTTGAATTAATTAATTATTATTTAAATCTAATAAATGTGGTTTGAATAAGAGGGTGCAAATAGCATTTTGATCACCCATTAGACTATTTACACCACTTATGTATTTATTATAATTTTTCACCTTTTTAGATTTTCAATGTACTTTATATCCCATTTTAGTCAAAGGGGGTGCAAATAGCAACACCCTTGTACTATTATCAAAAATATTTGTATTTGTATTAAAGACTAACTAATACTCAACCACATTTTAGGTTTCCCATATAGGTTGAAAGTTGTTCCTAATAACAGCTCTTTACAGAACAATAATAATTACATTGAAAAGGAGATCTGAGATTAAAATTAATTATTAATTAATTAAACAATAAACCTAAACTATCCTTTTATATATTGCGAATAGCAATTCAAAAATCTTATGCCTCTATACTTTTCATATTCCGGTGCAACACCATTATTGTTCTTCCATGGTTGAGTTCCTTTGGAACTCTACATCCCTCAATGTTAATTTGAATTTCCCACTCTTCAGCCTTCACAGAACTCCTATAAATAATGGTTAGTGGTTAGTGATTTAGCTCTGAGATTACTCTTTACTATTCACTAAGTACAAGAAAGCTATAAGGGTCAGATTGGTTCGCACGTATTTAGTATCTGAAGGCCGAAACTCTAATATGCTACCCCTCTTTGAATGATGAACATGACCATCTATTTCGGATGATTGATGAAGAAGGTCAAGAGGAGGGGTCTGAGGTAGATAACCAATCTATTCAGTTAATTAATTTTATTCATTCATTGTATAACTTATTTTTTTTTGGATACAGGAGAGTGAATCTGGGAAAACTAAGGTTGGATGGATGACAGTGATGAACCACTGGAGACAGGTGCAACAAAGAGTAACTTACTACACCAATTCTTATCAAGCCAAGAAGTTAAGTGATCCAAGGCTGTTCTCATGCTTTGTCTTTTTTTTTTTTTTTTTTTTTTTTTTGTTATCTATATTGTTCTTTATTCTATATGCATGTTTTACTTACAAACAGTATTCTCTCCTACATCCTTCAATGCTTATCAAGAACAACAATAAGGCTAAAAAATACTTATGCACATCTCGAATCAAGATTCATATAACTAAGTATTGAATATAGAATAAAAAATTTACCTTTCTATGTTATGTCTTCATACTCCTTTTTAGATAGATCATATATCTTCATACACCCTGTATCATGTCTCTGGCTCCCCAACCATTTTCACATTGATTTACAAGCTTTAAAACTTCAACTTTTAGTACCTAAAATAAAATTTAAGTAACCAAAGTAGAATGGAATTATATTAAGGATTTCAAAATCTCAAATTTCAATAATTCAGTATTGTGTAACACTTTTTGTTAATATGCACTGCTAAGTGCATATTCTCTGTGATGGATCAGGCTCATTGGTGACATTATGCACTCTTTTGAAGTGCTTTAAAATTTATGATTTACTGATTTTATTTCTTACCTTATATATATGGATTTTTTACCTTATCTGCATGTTATGGTTTTTACTTACTGTTTTAGGTGTTAAAAACAGTTTATCTTATGTTTGTACTATGCTTTGTCTATTGCCTAACTTTTTTGCAGGTATGAACAGACAGGTCATGGAATGTTCCTTTTGGATTGTTCAACCAGTCTACCAATCCACAACAGTGTGTGAAGGCACATAATGAATAAACATAATGGCAACAGATTCAGCTATAGTAATTACATTGCTAGACTCTCTATGTCTACTACTCTTTAGATATTCATTAGAATATAAGTAAGTAAATTTTGAGATAGAGAATTGTACCGTATTCACATTTGTATTACCTCCAAACTCAGTTTGTGAATCAGCAATGAAATATTGGATTGCTACTTTTTTAAAAGCAGTGAACTTTCATTACCTGAAAATGAACAATTTCCATCTGGTATTATAATAAAACATATATTACAAAATGTGGACTTAGTAAATCTTTAATAATTAAAAGATTACACTTTAATGAAGGGTATCCCCATATACCTTTGGAATTGCATTAAATATAAGAGTAGGATTGCAACTAAATTTGTACCTGCAAATTAAAATCCAAAAACAATGAACTCATGTATTTTTACAAGGTCAAACATTGAGTAACTGTGAAATAACAATTGTTAGAGGCTTAGTATATTGAGGTTACCTTGGTGTCAAATTGTGACATTCAATTAATCTGTTTATTGACAAGTAAAGTCTATCAATATTAAATTTGAGGTATAACAAGGAACATAAGTAAATGAAATGATTCAACTATCACAATGGAAAAAAAAAATTAAAAACATTGTAATGAGTAATAAAAGAGAGATATGGTCTTAAACCAAACTGATAGAACACATTTTAAATACAGGTAGGCAATGTTTACTGATTATATTGTGCCATCACTTTGAACTTTAAAAATAAGGATATGGTCACCCAACTTTATCAAATGAACATAATGACTGGAATATATAATGGTTGCAAGATAAAACTCATACAAACTAAAGTTTACAGACTGTGAGGACATGTATGATGACATATGCTATCATTACAAGTGATAAAACTGTTGAGTTCCATTGACACAATGATGACTTACAAATAGATTAATCCAGCTACGATTCAAGTTATTACTTTCACACAGTGGAACTTATTCTACTATGCTTAAACTAATACAAACACTCCCTAAAAAATTATTAGAGTATGGCAGTTCAAATTCATTCTCACATTGGAGTATTATGAAGAAACTTATTAAGTCCACCACTATCTATACTATATATAAAAACAAAATCCTGAAATTTTTACTTCCCGCCCAATTCCTAAAAAATCTCTCTTCCTAATGAAATATATTGATTTCTACTTTCCCATTCGTACAATAATTCTGCGTTAAAATTCTATTATACTATTATAAAATAGTGTAATACAATCTATACTATATATAAAAACAAAATCCTGAAATTTTAACTTTCCGCCCAATTCCTAAAAAATCTCTCTTCCTAATAAAATATATTGATTTCTACTTTCCCATTCGTACAATAATTCTGCGTTAAAATTCTATTCTAATATTATAAAATAGTGTAATACAATCTATACTATATATAAAAACAATATCCTGAAATCGGCCTCCTCAGCGGGCGCCTTGCCGGCTGAACCGGCCTTTAATTTTTTTTTTTTTTTTTTTTTTTTTAAGTTGAGAACCTTATGTTTTATTAATGAATTTTTAAAATTTTTAATTAAACAATTGTCCCGTGCATTATTTAATAATCTTTCTTTATAATTGGTCAAATTATTTAATTATGGTAAATTTGGGAATAATTAATGATGGTAATAGAAATCCTAGAAGAATATAGAATTGAACAATATTTAATTATTGTTATATTATTATTGTGACTCACGGAATACAAGAGTTAATGCCATTTTTGGTCCTAGACTTATTGGGGCATTGACACTTTTCATCCTCCATAATAAAAATTATCACTTAGTAGCCACGTTTATTGATCGTTGGACAGTTTTGATCCTCCGTCAATGACGCCGTTTGTTGACCGTGAAATAGAATGGTTTTTCTGTCTTTTTATGTTCTGATCCTTGTATTTCTCCATCCGTTGGTCACTGCTACATCTATTTCTTCAAACTGAGGTTATCCGCTTCAGTCATTTCTAACATTAGGAAACCATCTTCACCCAACTAACAATCACGAATTTTACATTTGACATCAATCTCAAGATAATGGAAACAAGTGCAGTTGGAATAGAAAGGGCGTTAGTCCATGTCTGTGAAAATTTTGTCGAGCATACAACATAACTAGCAAAGTCAGGAATATCACCCAACCCCTCCCTTAACCTTTCTGCATCAACTATAATAGGTATGCCCCTACTCTTTGCCTCATGCACTACAATCAAAGCAGTCTCATGCAGCCTTCCATCTAAGTAGACAATATTTACTCCAAGCGCTGAAGACAATTTTGATTTGGGTATGTAGACCCTCAAATATCATAGGTGGATATCCTGGAGTGAAAAAGCACGTGCGAGTTTTTTTTTTTTTTTTTTTTTTTTTTGGTTGTCAACAATGACATATGTGAATGGTGAGTTTCCTCCTTTGGACACCACCATAAAAGATGTATCAACACCATCCCTTTCAAGCTCATCAAGTATTCTTTCGCCATGCGAGTCATCAGCAACCTTAGATATGATCCTTGGATTAAGACCAAGACGAATTTTATCATCCGGGTTTTATCAAAGCATTGCCAGTGTTACCACCTCCTTGAACCTCAAAGCTGGTGCTCCGAATTTTATCATCCGGGTTGGGGAATGAAGCTACAGTAGCCAGGAAGTCAACACCGGCCATTCCAACACCTCAGACAATGCGATTTTTGGGGAGCGGGGGATTCCACATTTTCAGATTGAAACTTCAATGAATTTCAGGTAGAATAACAGAGTTTTTGAAGTTGTGCACCAAGTAGTTGTGGTCAGAGAGAGAGAGAGAGAGAGAGAGAGAGAGAGATGGGAAGGATATTTGTGGTCAATATGGAAAGGAGGACTTACAGGTGCAAATTCTACATCACGCCATCTACAACTACAACTGCTATTTACCATAGGAGGGTTCGCCGACCTGCTGCCCTCTCTACTTCG